CACTCTTTCGTTCAGGCTCACAAAACTAAACATAGTTGCGAAACATGTAATGCTAGCTTTACATAACTGCACACAAATGTAGGCACATGTTACGGTTATTATTATGTAACTATCGCAGATAATAATTTATGATGTGATATGTTCGACTGTCCTGTGTTTGTAATAATTGCATGTTTGAATGCTACACTATGTAATTAATATGTGATTTCTTCACATCATATAATACACTGTGTCTATATTATCTTACAGCCTTACACCAATTACGTAACAGATCAGAATGAGAATATTTTATTATTTATCCACTAGATACGGATTATTCGCACTCCTATGGATTTTGTCTGGAATCCTGTGATGATAATCCCCTCTGACTACTACACATTAACTGGTAAAGAAAGCACTTACAAATCAAAGGAACTATCAAACTCTTAGTTTTACTAAAAAGTAATTTCTACATGTGTGATCAGTTGGCGGGCAGATAAAAGTTAATGGAATCTATGAGAAGACTTCACATTGGGTTGTTCATCAACGTCATGTGTGTCATGGGGACAATGGCTCTGTTTTGCCCCTATGATCAATGGGTGAGTCAATTACCGTGTTATTGTAATATAATGTTTAATTAGATTTTTTGGGAACACGTTTGTGTTAGCATTTTAAAAAAAATGTACAATAATATTTGTTAAGTACATGACAGCGGGTACCATCAGTACAGAGACCATCAGTACAGAGACTATCAGTACAGAAAACATCAGTACAGATACTATCAGTACAGAAAACATCAGTACAGATACTATCAGTACAAAGACCAGAGACCATCAGTACAGAGACTATCAGTACAGAGACCATCAGTACAGAGACCGTCAGTACAGAGACCACCAGTACAGAGACTATCAGTACAGAGACCGTCAGTACAGAGACCATCAGTACAGAGACCACCAGTACAGACACTATCAGTACAGAGACCATCAGTACAGACACTATCAGTACAGAGACCGTCAGTACAGAGACCATCAGTACAGAGACTATCAGTACAGAGACCACCAGTACAGACACTATCAGTACAGAGACCGTCAGTACAGACACTATCAGTACAGAGACCGTCAGTACAGAGACCATCAGTACAGACACTATCAGTACAGAGACCACCAGTACAGACACTATCAGTACAGAGACCATCAGTACAGACACTATCAGTACAGAGACCGTCAGTACAGAGACCATCAGTACAGAGACTATCAGTACAGACACCGTCAGTACAGAGACCATCAGTACAGAGACCATCGATACAGAGACCATCAGTACAGAGACCATCAGTACAGAGACCATCAGTAAAGAAAACATCAGTACAGATACTATCAGTACAAAGACCAGAGACCATCAGTTTGTGTTAGCATTTAAAAAAAATGTACAATAATATTTGTTAAGTACATGACAGCGGGTACCATCAGTACAGAGACCATCAGTACAGAGACCATCAGTACAGAGACCATCAGTACAGAAAACATCAGTACAGATACTATCAGTAAAGAAAACATCAGTACAGAAAACATCAGTACAGAAAACATCAGTACAAAGACCAGAGACCATCAGTACAGAGACTATCAGTACAGAGACCATCAGTACAGAGACCAACAGTACAGAGACCATCAGTACAGAGACCGTCAGTACAGAGACCATCAGTACAGAGACCATCAGTACAGATACCAACAGTACAGAGACCATCAGTACAGAGACCATCAGTACAGCGACCATCAGTACAGAGACCATCAGTACAGAGACCATCAGTACAGAGACCGTCAGTACAGAGACCAACAGTACAGAGACCATCAGTACAGAGACCATCAGTACAGAGACCAACAGTACAGAGACCATCAGTACAGAGACCATCAGTACAGAGACCATCAGTACAGAGACCATCAGTACAGAGACCAACAGTACAGAGACCGTCAGTACAGAGACCAACAGTACAGAGACCATCAGTACAGAGACCATCAGTACAGAGACCAACAGTACAGAGACTATCAGTACAGAGACCGTCAGTACAGAGACCATCAGTACAGAGACCATCAGTACAGAGACCATCAGTACAGAGACCATCAGTACAGAGACCATCAGTACAAAGACCATCAGTACAGAGACCATCAGTACAGAGACCATCAGTACAGAGACTATTAGTACAGAGACCGTCAGTACAGAGACCATCAGTACAGAGACCATCGATACAGAGACCATCAGTACAAAGACCATCAGTACAGAGACCATCAGTACAGAGACCATCTGTACAGAGACCATCAGTACAGAGACCATCACTACAGAGGCCATCAGTACAGAGACCATCAGTACAGAGACCATCAGTACAGAGACTATCAGTACAGAGACCATCAGTACAGAGACCATCAGTAAAGAAACCATCAGTATAGAGACCCTCAGAATAAAGACCATCGGTACAAAGATCATCAGTACAGAGACCATCAGTACCAAGACCATCAGTACAGAGACCATCAGTACAGAGACCATCAGTACAGAGACCATCAGTACAGAGACCATCAGTACAGAGACCACTAGTACAGAGACCATCAGTACAGAGACTATCAGTACAGAGACCATCAGTACAGAAACCATCAGTACAGAGACTATCAGTACAGAGACCATTAGTACAGAGACCATCAGTACAGAGACTCTTTTTTTTTTTTTTTGGCTGTTGAGGCGACGACAAAGCTCACAGTACATTCCAGAAGTCTTAGCAACATTTGACATTTTGTAGCTTAGTAATAATTCGGTGTAAGTTGTTTAAATTTCGCACGCAACCTGTTAGTGATCATGTCCTTGTAATAATTTGATTTTAGTGTATACAAACATCTAGTTAAATTTTTTTGTTTTTTGTTTTTGCGATCAATGAAAAAAGGGTGGCGGAGATTACTGATTCAAAATAGCACGCTTTCAGTTAACAAAGCAATGGAAACTTGTCAAAGCATTAAATTGCAAGCGTTTCAAAGATGTTTCAGGTACTACTCTCAGGTAGACAATGTTTTACCATCTATGGTATCTGCTTTTTTTTTAATTTTATTTTTTATTGTCTGTAATCCCAATGCCATCATTGAAATTGCCAGCCCTTCTATTACCTTTTTGTTCCGCCCTGGCAAAGTCTTTATTGTCGATTTCGTCTTCGTCATCATTTTATCTATGGGCCCTCGCCCTCGTCGTTCTCGAAACCCTTGTTTTCAAGTATCTCATCTTTATCTTCTTCCACGTCGACCACATGGACACGAGCAAAGCTGGGAAAATGGAGATGTGGGATACAAGATGTGGGATACAAGATGTGGGATACAAGATGTGGGATACAAGATGTGGGATACAAGATGTGGGATACAAGAGACCTGGCAAAGCACCGATAATATATACACATCGTACTGAGAGCGATATTCTTCAGACAATTTACTGCATGATGATTTATGCACACATGCTTCGTAACTCCGATATACCCGCTTCGATTCAAATCTTTGGTGATTTCGCAGCAAACCGCTTTGCATGCATTTCGATAATTGTATGCAAGGCCGTTGTGTTGTTGGGGTTAGTTTTGCAGCGTGCGGAAAAGGAAATGGGATAAACTTTTTAATGTTCATGGGGCTTCAGTTATGAACTATTGAATGTCAATGTCCATAATTCCAGTATTAGTTTTGACCTTGTCATCTCATACGTATTATCTGTTTCTTCGCAGAAGTGTCAATACTGTGAGGTGGCAGGGGTGTCGTGTAACCGTTTGACAGAAGTGCCGCCATTACGGACAGGGCGCAAAGTATTAAAAGTGAAAACTCTCTCATTTTCTGTAAGTATTTAGCAGCGGCGCTCGCCCAGTCAGAATAATTAGCACCAAAAATATTTTAAAATCTCTCATTTTGATTAACTCAAATAGTGATAAAATATATCAGTTTAGTTACTAACATTAGTTTATAGTAGCTCAATATGTGTACTAAAATAGTTTTAACAATTTTAGCCTGCATTCTAAACACATTTAGTCTCTTTCTTATCTGTATTACTTATCTGTTGATTTAAAAAAAAAATGCAAATGATATTTTTTTCGTTCTATTTCAGGGTGGAAGCATAATGACGATAGACAGATCCAGTCTTCCTGCTGACCTTACAATAATAAATCTGGAAGGTCATCCGCTCACAAATATGTCAACAGACGCTTTCGACAAATCGGCGGGAACGTTGGAGCGTTTATTTATTAGACAAGCAAGGTTTACCAGTTTACCGAAAGCTTTAAACAACCTGACTAAGCTGATAGAGCTAGCAATTCAAGATACAGCGATAGAAGAATGGGATACTGTCACACTGAAACAGCTCGCAGCTTGTCTGGAACTTCTTGACCTTACGAACGTTGGTTTGTCGTCATGGCCAGGTTGGATTTCTGACTTTCATTTGCTACATACTCTAATCTTGAGCAAGAACTCTATACACTATATCCCTGATAATGCATTCAGTTCCATCAAAGACTCGTTAAAAGTCCTCCATCTTTCAAATACTGGGTTGACACACCCACCTCAGGCACTGTCCACTCTTTCAAGACTAATCTTCCTTGAATTAAGAATCAATAATTTTACAGATGCCTCTGAATTTGACAAGATAACTGAGTCAGCGTTTGCTCAGAGGCTTGTTCATTTGTTTTTATTATCTGCTGGGTTAACAAGAATACCAAACCTGTCGAACTTGACAAGTCTAAGATCGCTTCTTTTAAGTGATAACAGAATAGGTAATATACCCGTCGGATCCCTTCCCGGGTCTGTAACATTTTTGCAACTGTTGAACAATGGTCTGTAATCGGTACCAAAAGACATTGCTAACATGCCTAACCTTTCAGACTTAAGCATGGATTTCAATCTAATCTCAGGGATTGAACCAAATAGCTTTCCGTCGAGTTTGAGAAGCCTGTCCCTCATGTACAACCAAATAACTGTAATTAATAAGACAACTTTCGGAGATCTGGGGCTACACTCTCTCAGTTTGAATGGGAATCCCATCTCGGTAATCTCGGCTGATGCATTCTCGAATCTGACGCGATTGCGCCATCTTGAAATCAAGAATTCACAACTGACAGAATTCCCTTTAGCGTTTTCACAATTGCCAAGGCAGACATATATATACTTCTCCGCTCCTAACGCATTCTCTTGTCCTTGCCCGGCGCCCCAGCAGTTAGTTCAGTGGTTTATGTCAGTCAGAAATCGCTGGAGGGTTGAGGGAATGTGCACAGATGGAAGGGATATTGAACTTTACCTGAGTGGTCAGTGTGAACAAACATAAGCCACTCCACAAATTGCGGCTTCTTCCTGTACATGCTAGTTTTAAAGGAGCAATGGAGCCCTCATCTGAAATATTTGAACTGATGTTTTGTTTCTCCTGCTTATTTGTCTTACTTCTAACCCCGTTACGCAAGATGTCCCCTTGCGAAATGCAATTTATTTTTTTTATATTTTTTTTAAGCACCACCTTGGCTTTTGCCGGGGACCCTAGATATAACTGGGTAGCTGGGCCACAGATATGGCCTAACGGTTGAACTGGGTTTCCGGGACCTCTCCACGGGTGATCCTCGTGCACATAGCGACCCTTTGTGTCAACGGGTGTTTATCACTTGTGTGATGTTCTGGTGGGGGACAACTTACCTGCCTACCTATTACTTGAGATAACCTATGTATCCATAGTTTTCTTCCGCTTCTTGTTCTTCAGCATTCTGAACCCTTGAAGTTCGCTACTGCAGATATCGCTCGCCTCCACTTATGTATGTGATTGGCCTTCTCTTTTCAGTTGCTAGTTCCAAGTACTTGTTGGTTCGCCCATTACCTGTTTCTCCACAGCCTTGCTGGTCTGCTAATACGCTGTTTCTCCCCCAACTTGCTGGTCTGTCCATACACTGTTTCTCCACCGTCTTGTTGGTCTGCTAGTACACTGTTTCTTCCCCAACTTGTTGGTCTGCTAATACACTGTTTCTCTACTGTCTTGTTGGTCTGCCCATACACTGTTTCTCCACCATCTTGCTGGTCTGTCCATAAACTGTTTCTCATCCAACTTGCTGGTCAATAAACTGTTCCTCCACCGTCTTGTTGGTCTGCTAATACACTGTTTCTCCCCCAACTTGTTAGTCTGCATACACACTGTTTCTCAACCATCTTGTTGGTCTGTCCATACACTGTTTCTCCCACAACTTGCTGGTCAGCCCATATACTGTTTCTCCACCATCTTGTTGGTCTGTCTTTACACTGTTTCTCCCACAACTTGCTGGTCTGCCCATATACTGTTTCTCCACCATCTTGTTAGTCTGTCCATACCCTGTTTCTTGTTGGTCTGCTTTGTGGTTCCCTCAGGTCAACTGTTTTGCTTACACTTTTTAATGTTTCTCTGTTATATATCATTATCTGTCTAAATATGCCCCAACCATTGCAGTCTACCAGTCCATATGATGCCAGCAGTTTGTGTGATTTACAAAGATGTTCAATTTCTTTATTATTTCTCACTCTCTCCTTTCTTTATTTTGTCATCTCACTGATACCAGGTAATAAGCCAGTGTCGTGAGTTTGCTGTATTTGCTTTGACGTCTCACTGATCTTCTACTTCTTCTTCTTTACGTCCTCTTTTATCACTTCGGGTGTCGAGGCAGATATAACGTCCTTTTCGTGCTCTTCTGACTGCTTCGACTGTAGAGTTTCTCTGATGTTATCTTACCATCTTGTTCTTTGTCTACCAGTAGGGAAACCATTTAATTTGCTGTCTTTGTATGTCGCCTCACTGATACCACGTTATAAGTCAATGTAATGATTTTTCTGTATTTGTTTTGTCGCCTTAAGTCAAAGTCATGATGTTTCTGTATTTGTTTTATAGCCTCACTGATACCAGATTGTTGCATAGTGCCGTGGTTTTCTGTGTTTGTTTTGTCACCTCACTGATACCAGGTTTTGGATCAGTTTTGTGGTTTTCTGTGTGTTTTTTTGTCACCTCACTGATACCAGGTTTTAGCTCAGTTTTGTGGTTTTCTGTGTTTGTTTTGTCACCTCACTGATACCAGGTTTTAGCTCAGTTTTTTGGTGTTCTGTGTTTGTTTTGTCACCTCACTGATACCAGGTTTTAGCTCAGTTTTTTGGTGTTCTGTGTTTGTTTTGTCACCTCAATGATACCAGGTTTTAGCTCAGTTTTGTGGTGTTCTGTGTTTGTTTTGTCACCTCAATGATACCAGGTTTTAGCTCAGTTTTGTGGTTTTCTGTGTTTGTTTTGTCACCTCACTGATACCAGGTTTTAGCTCAGTTTTGTAGTTTTCTGTGTTTGTTTTGTCACCTCACTGATACCAGGTTTTAGCTCAGTTTTTTGGTGTTCTGTGTTTGTTTTGTCACCTCACTGATACCAAGTTTTAGCTCAGTTTTGTAGTTTTCTGTGTTTGTTTTGTCACCTCAATGATACCAGGTTTTAGCTCAGTTTTGTAGTTTTCTGTGTTTGTTTTGTCACCTCACTGATACCAGGTTTTAGCTCAGTTTTTTTGGTGTTCTGTGTTTGTTTTGTCACCTCAATGATACCAGGTTTTAGCTCAGTTTTGTGGTTTTCTGTGTTTGTTTTGTCACCTCAATGATACCAGGTTTTAGCTCAGTTTTGTGGTTTTCTGTGTTTGTTTTGTCACCTCAATGATACCAGGTTTTAGCTCAGTTTTGTGGTTTTCTGTGTTTGTTTTGTCACCTCACTGATGCCAGGTTTTAGCCCAGTTTTGTGGTTTTCTGTATTTGTTTTGTTGTCTCACTGATGCCAGGTTGTAGCCCAGTGTCGGGGTTTTCTGTAATATTTTTTTCCCCTTGTATGGCCTGGGTGATGGATTTGTTTATTTATTTATTATTATTTTTTAAGGGTTTCAAGTACACAATTTACTTATGTCTTTCTTGGTCTCCTTATCACCTTCCTCTCATAATGTGTGATGTAAACCGTTTTTTTTTTTTTTAGTTTTTATTTTACAGTTCTTTCTATATTAGATTGCTGCAAAGATTCCCTGTAATACTGTTATCAAAAATCCGTAATAAGGCTCCATCTCTTTTAGTCGTACTATTGATTTCAGAGTCAACTAGGGCAATATTTAAACTATTCGAATGCACCATTGAAAAACAAGGGATTGCACACAAAATAAAGTGTCGTTTATACACTGCAATTTTGTCTCGTAAACTTACAGTGTACATGCAATTATTTGCCTCTATCACTTTCTAATACTACGTAATTTTAACAATAATTTCTTTTTCTCAGTTAAATTGTGTTGTTGTAAACGACATATATCAAACAATTTTAGCTTAAGCAACACGCAAGCCGTCCGACACATACCAGTTATAGCTTAAGCGACACATTAGCAGTACGACACACAACAATTCAAGCTTAAGCATAACACCAGTCGGACGACATTTACCAATTATAGCTTAAGCAACACCTCAGCAGTACGACACACAACAGTTCTAGCTTAAGCAACATATTAACCGTACGATATTTATCAATTATAGCTTAAGCAGCACACCAGCCGTACGACACACAACAATTATAGCTTAAGCAACACACCAGCCGGACGACACACAACAATTATAGCTTAAGCAGCACACCAGCCGGACGACACACAACAATTATAGCTTAAGCAACACACCAGCCGGACGACACACAACAATTATAGCTTAAGCAACACACCAGCCGGACGACACACAACAATTATAGCTTAAGCAACATATCAACCGTACGATATTTATCAATTATAGCTTAAGCAGCACACCAGCCGTACGACACACAACAATTATAGCTTAAGCAACACACCAGCCGGACGACACACAACAATTCTAACTTAAACAACATATCAACCGTACGATATTTATCAATTATAGCTTAAGCAGCACACCAGCCGTACGACACACAACAATTATAGCTTAAGCAACACACCAGCCGGACGACACACAACAATTCTAACTTAAACAACATATCAACCGTACGATATTTAACAATTATAGCTTAAGCAGCACACCAGCCGTACGACACACAACAATTATAGCTTAAGCAACACATTAGCCGTACGAGACACAACAATTCTAGCTTAAGCTACACACCAGCAATACGACACACAACAATTCTATCTTTAGCAACACACCAGCAGTACGACACACAACAATTCTATCTTAAGCAACACACCAGCAGTACGACATTTACCAATTCTATCTTAAGCAACACACCCGCCATACGTCACACAACATTTCTAGCTTAAGCAACACACCAGCAGTACTCATGGCAGACATAGTGAGAGAGTGAGAGATAATTGGAATGATAATGTGAAGATCATTAAAGATTAATTTCAAATAATATAATATGAGTTGACTCTGTGTGTGCTTTCTGTCATCACCAGGTAGAAGGATTTGATCAAAGAAGACACAAACAAAAGAATACACAATGTACTAACTGGCATATATCCTGTTGTGTCTAGTCACGTGCATAGCACAGTAAAAATTAATTAATTTGAAGCAAAAAAATTAGTATTTTTAACTAAAACAGAAAATCGACTACAATCAAAAGTAACTCTACTTCACCAAGGCAAACGCAGGTAAACGACTATTTCCTTCTGTATGCCTAATGCTGGATTTAACCGGTCGATCGTCGTGTCTTTCATGTGAAGTAAAAGTCTGCGGCTGGTTCAGATTTGGAGAATTTGAAATGCATGGCTCCCGTTTACAGTGTGACTAGAATTCGAAAGGTGGCATGCGATGGTCGACGGGTTATCCTTTCGACCAGTCATCCGATTCTGTTTTTTTTTTTTTTTTTTCTCTCTCTCTTGAGTTGTTGTTGCTAATATTTAGCATTGCTTTTAATATTTGTAGCAGGTTAAGCTCAGCTGCTGAAGTCGGCGATCTGTGCGGCTGACACAGGCTAAATCACAAGTGAATTTAAATTAATAAATACAATTCGACTTGGCATGCGTTAATTTTTTTTTTTCATTGATGACCTTGGAATTTTGTTTTAAATATGATAGCAGACACGGCTGCGTAGACAAATTGACAGAGTGCCGTTGTAAACCGGTCATAAAAACAGTGTATAAACGTTATCAAAGAAAAGTTAGACGGTGATAAACTTGTTATTTCGGCACCGAAATGTGGTACATTTTTTTTTTTTTTTGGTTTTGGGAAGAGGGTGGGGGAAAAGGGGGAGGGGGTAAAAACATTGGGTTGAGGTGGCGTGGGGTGGCTCTTACATCCAGATAGGTACCCATAAGAAAGTCCTGTTTGAGAGTTTTAAATTCTGCTTACAACGTGTTG